TGAATTTTCTTTCACTTTTGATTGTAATTTATAAATGTGTAAATTTATTTTAAAGAATTTAAAATTCTTTTATATGAATTCATGAAATGATATAAAATAATGAGATAATTTAACCTACATATTTCAAATCATGATTCATAAGTAAACATGCATACACATTTCAAGATGGTGAATACATTCGAAAATGCTTATAAATATGAAATATTTATTTAAGAAAATAGAAGCAACATATTATTTGTTCGATTTAACTTACCAATAAAAAAGAGAATGGAAAAATAATTCTTGAGTGGCTTGACTCCATCTTTGCATTCACTAATTCACAAGTTATGCTTATCAAATAATCCATGAACATCCCATATATATAATTGTTAACAATTACATTGAAGTGGACAATAATAATGTGAAATAAGTGTCATCAAGATAATTTTTCAGTTCTAAAATGCTTGGACTTCCACTAAATAACTTTCTTATCTTCCACTATCTTTAATACATAATATAATGCACATTTAAATACCTTAAAACTGCTCCCATTTATATCTAGTTTTGTATTTAGTTATTAGAATATATTTTTTATTTTGTACATAAAAAAAGAATATTTAAATGAAGGACAAAATGGTAATTCAACTTTGAGGTTAGAAGCTTCCCACTTATAATAATATATGATGATATGATATGATGATTGTTATCCCTTCAATTAGCTAGATCTAGCACACACTGCACATTGACAAGTTGTGCCAAGTTTTAGCATAAATATGTTCCCAATCAGGTCAAAGAAGCTACATAAACACAATATGAAGCTTTCTCCGGAAACCCTTCCCCCTTTCCAACTCCCGAAACATAAATAGCAGATTCGTGATCTATGGGAGAAAAGTGCAACAACACAAAAGTAGGAACTTAATCAAACAAAAGAAAGTATCACACCTTTAGACTTGTATGGTGCTAATGGGCACACTTTCCAAGTGGGGTGCAATCAAGGCATCCAACTTGACCAACCAGAATGCAACTGCAGATGAAGTCCGGGGCATGCTTGAAAAGCTTGCAATAATGTCTTCTGGGTCATAATTCAATCCCAAAGTATGACCAGATTCACACAACCAGTCCTCATTGATAGCAGTGACAAAATCAGCAAGAACCTACGATACATCACAAAATAGAAGTCCACTTATGTGAGACCTGTTAGGTCAAATTTCTATGAAAATAATGTCAAACCTAGCAGCAGTTGGAAAGGTTTTTCTATAGACTCAATGGATGTATATTTATTTTTGAACTCTCCAAAATGCAAATCCTGGGAAATTGAGATCAATTATAAAAAAAATACTGAAGGATGGGCAGGCATTCGTCACCTGTAAAATCTCTGATAAAGTTGAAGCCCTGCGCAGTCTTTTGATCCAAAGATTGTGGGAAGATCTTCTCCAAGCACCAATTAGGGCACCTTCTGGCATTACTGACTGAACGTTACAAATGATAAATACGTATATCAGATTGTTAATTGAAAAAACATAAGTTGGAAAGTTAATGGCGCAGCAGTTAACAGAACAAATAACTTTATAAGAGTATGAAGGTGCTTATCAGGTAGTCTTATTTTCAATTTCAACTCAGCTATTTGAAAATAGTCTCGATTTTTCTTTTTCTAATCGGTGGTGTCCAGGTCCGCTTGCACGCACCTTCACTAATCCACTGAACAGCTAGTCAAGCACAGGTTGCAAAGGTAATCCGGCTTCCCAAGGCTGGAGCTGACTGGTTCATACTAAATGGTGTAATTGGGATTTGTATACCACTACGTGTCGTCTTTCCCAACAGCACAATACAATCATTATTTTACAAAAAATAAAGGCATTCGTGACACTGGTCAAAGAACAATCCACTTTCTATGAAGTTCACCATCTGTGATGTTTATCCACAGCATCCTAACAAACTAAACTTTCATCAAGTGTTCTTATTCATTGTTGCAGCATCAAGCAATGGATGAACAGAACTTCATACATCATAAACACAATATAAGCTACACAGATGTGCAGGTTAATGAGAGATGTGAAACCAAAGGATCTAAAGTAGTTAAGAATGTGATAGTGTGCTGCAAAGTTACGCATGTGACCTGATAGAAACATGCCACTACTAAACTAAAGCTGTGCTATAATTAGCATGATTATTAAGAACATTGATGGACCACTCTTAGGGGTTTTTTTGACACAAAACAAGATATGCACACCACTCAAAATCATACAAGTTATAAGGTTCTGGTTATATGGAGCACTTAATAATAGTAAACACTTGTAAATGAACATCAAAATTTGGACACATAATACTGGCTGTAAAAGCATTAGAATGACTACCCACCTCAATCGCATGTATTGCAGCTTTAAGTGACTGCAATTCCGATGGGAGAATTTTATGCTTTGATAACTTATCAGTATCTAGATTCTGCCTGCATGTTGCAGTATGAATGGCATATTTTTCTTCAAGATCAAAATCAAGCTCAAACGTGGTGTGGCAAATCCTGCAGTGCTTCTCATCCCTCCAGTATAGATCATGACATTGTTCACACCTTGCAAGTGAATCAAGATAAGACCTTTTCCCAAGTTTCACAGCAGCAAGATTACAATAGAATGATTTCCATATCCATGTGTCAAAAGCTTGAGCAATGTTCCATTTGTCTTGCTGATGTTCTCCTTTCCTACCTACAGGCACCTTCTGACCAATAGAACCATTGTGCACTTCAACAAGGCTTAAGTTATCCACATCAGAAACTGCAGACGATGAACTATCTTCCCTAGAAAAGTTCCTTCCACATCGAGGTGATTGGCTATCTCCTGAATCATTCAGAGCATTTGACATTGCTTGGCATAGGAAAGTTTCCCGTTTCTCCAGAGATGCAACTAGAAGAGCCTCTCGTATACCTCTGCGGTCCAAGGCAGCCGACAAAGAGCATAAAGACTGAAACCAGATCAAAAATACATTAAAAAGTTCATTCGTTGGAAATCGTTGCATGCTACTGACATAAGAAATAGAAGTGCCAAAGTGATATTAAAGTACCTCTTCAGTATCAATCACCTCCCAGTGACCATCTTCAGAAGATTCGAAATAAATCCTCCTGTGCCCAGGATCAAGTTCATTGCAAGGGCCCAAGAAAATCCAGTATCTATTGTACCTACGGTCAGAACCGAGGAAGATAGACTGCATAGGGTGCAACTCATCCCCAGCTTTCAGTTCTTTGGCATTCTTTGCAGTCCTAGGTGACTTATTTTTCTCACATAGCTTTGACATTGATACTGAAGAGTCAACTGACTGAAGTTCCAGTGACACTGTTGGATCTTGATTACTAAGTTGTCCTTTATGACTTTGTACATGCCCAGTCAAGTAGGATGATTTTGCTGATGACCTTTTTATTTTTCCACCAGAAGCATGATGAATTGTTGCAGGAGCACATTCTACAACTGATGGCATCGAATCCTGCAGATAAGACTTGTCACTAAATAAAATGCAGAAAGAAAGAAAAAGCTGGTCTGACATACAAATGCACTTCTTTTTAATCATAACTTAGTGCATAAAGAATGGCTCATGGATAGTGATATATTCACTAAGAATGGTGATGCTCGTACAATATAGCAATAAGTTTTCTTATTAGTCAAAATGTAGTACTATCAAAATGCTCGGTAACGGGGCGAAGAAGCTTCAAAGGCTCTGGATGTGCTCGGAATGTCAATCCTCGAGGCTGTTTCTGGCAGTACCATCAGTTCGGCGTATCTGGCAGGGCCTGAAATTTGTTCACAGACATGCTGGGATGGTTGGAACTACTTTGCCACCAATTTTCAAGGTCTATCTTTCAGGACAGAAGGTTTTTAAAACATCACCTACTAGTACAAGTTAGTAAGCTCTCTCTGGCGCCAGTAAAATGAATATGAAGTGTTAAAAAGCAAATTTAGCAGTTAGTACCATGAACAAGAACGCACATAGGAAAACAGAAGAACCTGAAGACATGAAAACCTAAAGGGAAGAGTTCCTTTAAAGGACCTAATGGACTCATATTGAATATTTTACCTTTTCAGTGATGCTGGATGCAGCAATAAGAAGATCAACCAATGCCACCAAGGCATTCAGCTTCTCTTCAATGCTCAGATCTGAATATTCACCTTCCATCAGCCCTAACAACCATGCTTCTCCTGAGTAGCTTTCATCAATTTCAGTATTTAGCGTTGACAGATTGTTCCTATTTTCAAACTGATGATAGCTCCGTTCAGATTCAGCTCGAACTAGTTCGCGGGACTCACATTCTGAATTATCCCTCATGTATCCACTAATTACCTCTGCTTCATCTCCTTCAGAATCTGAAAAACAAATTTCAGATTCCTGTGAAGAAGGATTAATACGTAGACGGTACCCTGAAGATGATATCTTTTCAAACAAGGTAATGTCACTAGAAAGTGTTGAGCTTATTAAATCTTCTAGCTGAATGGTTGTCGCTGCCAGATTCAATTCAAGAATCTTCAAGACAAAAGGAAAAAGATTCATTAACCAAAGCATTTTATGATGTAGAGGCAGTGGTAAATTATAATACTAATAGTAAGGACCGGGATTCACATCCACTTACAGATTGAAGTTTTGCCAGCTCATGAACTTTCATTCCAGCAGTTCCTTTAATTAGCAGAATGCTAAAAAGTTCACCCTTCAGTGTACCAAGGGCTAACCCATACTTAGCCATCAAACTACGTTCCTAAGAAATAAGAAACCACAGAAAATAAAGAAAATGAGGATCACAGAGTAACGTCATGAATCAAACAGCAAAACTTCCTCCAAGACAGTCTAATGAAGGATAACAGCTATAAGCTAATAGCAGTATTAGATCTGTCGTATGATTTAAGGCTTTTCTCAAGAAAATTAATATTAAAATATAGGAACTGATAAAAAAACAGCATAGCAAGTCACCGCGTCCACAACCATCACTCAAACACCAACGTACATAATACTAGTACTAGTACTAGTGTACTGCAATATGCATTTGCAATAAAATTAAAAAAAAAAAGTAAAAACAGAAAGACACCATGAGGAGTTGCAAGATACTAGTACCTGGAAAGCAAAGCACCACGTTGGAAAGTAATATGTATGTATGTGTGTGTTTGTGTGCATTCTGCTTAAAGTAAATAAAAAATGGAGAATGTAATTATTCCCCTCAGAAACACCAAATTCCATGCTGACCAAGAAGTTACTTGCCACAAACATATCAAAACTGTGTAATTACACCCAGCTACATCCACAATCAATTCCAAGGTGTCTTCCATACAGCCCTAGGATGTGTTTCTGGAGATAGTTGAATAAGATAAGTAATTACAGTACGTGTCCACTTCAGTGCCCGGTGAAGAAGACTCAGAATTCAACAATACACCCAGTGAAATCCCTCAGGTGGGGTCTGTGGTGAAGGGTGCAGAGGCAGGGGGGGCTGTGACCAATTAATCACGATAAGAGACTGTTCTCCAAAACCACACAGAGAAAAGATAAAGGAGTAGCACCAAAAATTCCTGATTTTCTTTCCTTGGCGAGTGAATTCTGCTCTACTCAGGCCTTATCCCTACTGCCTTGTGGAGGTAGAGATGTTGTTTCCAAGAGACCCTCTGCTCAAGTAACGCATATCAAAGCAATTACAAAAGAAAAATAGAGACTCAAAGAGGAATGAGGATTCAACATTCCCAACAACTTATTTCTTACAGTGAAATATGACCACTGACATATCACAGTGTTTAAATATCCAGCGACAAAAACATTAAAGAATAACTTATAGCCACTGACATATCAAAGATGCAAGACAAATTAAATCAGTAGCCAGAAATTGCAGTACCTTGCAGAGAGCCTCTCCAGGTACTCTACCACGTTTGGACCCAAAACCAGCGGCAACCAAGACTTGCCGTAGTATCTCTGTCCATGTTAAGGCATTGAGAGAACTAATACAGAGTTCCAGACTAAATTCTTCATGTTCTATCTGTCGAAATAGATGAATGTTTCCTCTTTCAGAATAGCATACTTCAATGGACAAGAAGATTTTAAAGAGAACAGTGACGAACGGAAGTTTGTCAGCAGAATAGAGTCAGTAGACAAGCATATAAATGATCAAATAGCATATATCCTCTGAAGGGGAAGAGATTCGCAACCAATTACATCCTTTCATATCCAAGATCAATAATCTCAGGACACTAGTTTTACCATAGTGATTGTGGAAGAAAAGCATCAGTAGAATGCATAGAGGGAGGCCGCATGTAGAACATGCAAACACTGTTAGTTGATACAACAGAGAAGCAGAACTTATTTTAATATGTTGATAACACCACTGGTGCTATGGCATAGGGTATCTGTGTACTCCCTGATAGAGATTTCAGATGTCTTTGGGGTTTGTGGTACTTCATGATAATTATAGGACTTTTCTGGTGCTGAACTCTCCAAACCAAACTGTGGACTTTTCTGATACTCAACTCTCCAAATCAGACATAGTATTTAGTATTTTCCATTAAGCATATTGCACTAGTAGGACACTTTGGAAAAGCAAACACTACTCGTAATGCTACTAGCTACATAATAAAATAAGACCCATATCAGACACTCAGTATTTTATATACCCATGTTCTTCTTAGTGCCAACAAAAGAAGACATATTTTAGCAAGGATTCTTTCCTTTTTTTCCTTCTTTCTCGGGGAAATATATAAGCAGGGATCATACATGTTTGGGAGCAGTGCATTTTACTTTGCTAATAGCTAGTTCCGTCTTCCCACTAAAAAGGAACAACAAACATTGTACTCCCTCCGTCCATCTTTATTTGTCCACTATACTATTTTTGGATGTCCAACGATACTTGTCCAGTTTATAAAATCAATGAATAATTCAATCATTTTATGTCTATTTTATCCTTACGATAAATACTATCAATATTCAATATTTAGATGACTCATAATTAATAGGGGTAATATAGTAAAGTTACCCCTCTATTTACTATTTCTTAAGGAGTGTGTCAAGTCAAACATGAACAAGTAAAGATGGATGGAGGGAAGTATATCAGAGTAGCGATCCTTGAGAAAGAAAACTATTGTCTGTATCTCATATTAAAATAACTGTTCGGAAGATATTTTCTTCACAACTCCAGCTTATGTAAAAGGTATATAGGACCTCTAAATTTCCTATTATTACTTTTTGTGATATTATTAAGGACCTTCTACCTTCATACACTTCTGAAGAATTTAAGATTACCATGACTATTTTTATTCCCAGATTCAGTAAAGTATAACTCATGTCAACTCCCCAAAGTGGTTCAACAGTAGAAGCAAAATTCATACTAATATGCTCCAGGATACTTTGTAGAAATTTACATGGTTAGGGTGTTTGTCAGGGAATAACCCCCCACAATTTGTGGGATGGCCATAACATGGTCAAGTTCTCTTTTGTTACATTTCCACATATTTTAGATTCCTTCAGCTTTCGGTTTTCATAACCTGAAGCATCATTGTTTTCTCTCCCTTATCTTCTAGTTTTTCTATTGCCCTACCTAAGTAATGTAACCTCCTTTGTAGCAAAGATAAATGATGAAATAAATAAGCCATCTTCAGATTGAAGTTCCAGGAAGCACTAGCCTAATAGCGAATACGTACAAATTGCTGTACATAAACTGTCTCACAGCTGCTTCTGAAGACTCAACCCTATGCTAATATGCAAAAGCCTATTAAACTGAAAAATAGATCTGAATGCATGTAAACTCACTGAGTGAACTAATCCCAAGAAATTGCAACTTCTGCTTGCTTGATGAATGAATCCCTTGTTAAGCTGAATTTCAACATCTGCCAAAAGAAGCCTGAGAAAGGCTAAATGAACTTGTCCAAGTATCAAGGAATCCTGAAAGCAACAAGAATCAAATCAAAACTGGTAAGTGATCTGAAAGCAACAAGAATCAAATCGAAATTGGCAAGTGATCAGCATCTTTAGAAGTAGCTATCAGGTCTCAAAAGTGAATGATGGAGAATAACTAGTAGAGAGCTGAACTTACTTTTTCATGAAATGCTTGTGCAAACTCATCAATTGTGAAGGAACAGATATTAATTCTTGCAGCATAAGTACAAAGAAAGTGGAAGACCTGCAAAATAAACTGCATATTAGCCCATATACTTCTTTTAAATAAAAAAATTACATAGGAAAAAAAGGCGAGGTTATGTTGAGAAAAGCATCAAAATACAAAATGCTTTGTTTTCACAGATCATCTTTGTGCAAATTTATTGAGAACAAAAGAACTACATCCTCCTAACAAACGGAACATTAACAATGAGGTATACCAATTGAGCACTAACCATGACAATCTAATATTATTTTCTTCATTTGCATTAACACTATCAGACTAAGCAAAGAATATTATTTCCCAAGTACCTTGAACAGTTTCTTGGCGAGCTCTGGAGAGGAATCCCATGGTCGCTCATAGAGAGGCAGCTTCATTATTACTGAATTGGGAGGAAACTTTGGAAGTAAACCTACAGAATTAAAGGAATTTTGTTAGACATAGATTGTAAATATGTATACTTCAAAGCAAATTGATGACTGGTTGATCTTGTACTATAACTTAAACATCTAAAACAAGCAACTAGACCATAGAAGCAAGGTTAAGAGAACAAAAAGAAAAAACAACTAACAAAATAAAGAAATGGAAGATAAAATAAACATAAAGCAATTAATTTACATTTGCAAAGAGAACGGGAAAAAATAGGGGGTCTTATTCTTACCTTTGCAAAGTGAACATCCACGAAGTCCATTGCTTGCAAAGTGTGTACAGCATGTCAATGAGTTAGGTCCTTCTTCCAACTCCATTAACTCAAGTTCCTCATCATCCACTAGCGACCCCAACTGTGTAAACTCCTGTTGGTAATTCCTTTTTTTGATAGGTAATCCTTCTTGGCACTTTCTCCATTCCAGCGCAAGTTCACATTTTTCCTTACGAGGCATCTTCTGCTTTTCAATCCTTTTATTCTCTGCCTGCAATTATGAAATGCCACAGTAGAATTACATTAATCACTACATATCAAAAAGAAGGAAAAAAGCAACTCCAACCACTAATAGTAGTAGCTTTTCAGCATGAGCCAAAATATTACCTTTCTGCATTTCACGCCAACCTTCTTCTTATCCTGCAATTTCTTTTCTATTTTTCTCTGCACACAGAAGTTCAGCTAGCAATTACCAACCTTTGCCAAAGAATCAGAAACGGAACTTGGAAGACATGTATCATGCATGTACTACAAATTGCAAAGTAAATATCAAAGGTATGGCGTGAGGCTCAACCAAAATAGACTGTCGCTGCAACAACTTCTTCTTTCTCTCTTCAGCACTCTCTCCAAAATCAACACCAACGGGGATGTCTCCGGAGTGAGGATTTGTTGCCCGCCAAACTGTCATCAAACCCTTCCCCATACCATGATTTCTAAGAGTAGCCCTCTTCTCAGTCATTAAACGTTTCCCAGCACTATGCTTTTTCACCGAAACGTCTTTTGTTATCAGACCTTTCCCAGTACCATGCTTCTTCACAGGAGGGTTACTTTCACATAAAGCTCGGCAATGCATGGTAGCAGGCACAGAAACCTGGTTAAGAAAAAGGTAAAAAAACAAAGAGAAAATATGAACAAACTGAAAAGATTTAAGCGTTCATATTGAGCACCTAGAGGTTATGATGACTTCCCCAGAACCTATCATGCCTACCTTTCTCCTCTTAGTCGCTCCTTGGTTTTCTTGTCTAGCTTGACCCGAAATCCTGGAACCTGATCGTGGAAGAACAAGATTTAGCACAGCAAGCATACAGAAACAGTAACCGACATTACTACTTCACCAAAAAAAAGTAATTGACATTAATCAGCCAAAAACAAACAGAAGAAGAAGATGTAATTGCATTCTATGACATTTCACTTTTCAACAAGGACAAGTAGCTATGAACTAATCCTTGCAACCATATTTATTACGACTAGAATCATCTCTTCATGTATAGACTTAGAGATTTGATTCTTTCTATCCCTTTTCTATCTAGATGCATAGGAAAGCTATCCCTTGGGAACCATCAGTTTCCAAATGATTTCATCCATCAGCAAAGTTGAGTATTTGAGTCAAATGCAAATAGGCTGATTTATATTGAGGAGCAGCACCCACTTCTCTTCTGCCCGAGCTGTTTTTTTCCCTTCAGATATGTCAAAGATCTTTTTATTTCTCTCTTTTATATATATGGATAAATAAAATATCATTTCATTGATAACAAGCCAAGGCACTGTCCTCCATAGCTTCTTTTTCTTCTTTCAAGCTGCCCCTTAGCTTCATCCTGATATCATTTCCACTCCTGTCCTAGACCAACTCCTTGGATATTGATGGACATAAAATATCAAGGCCCAACTATTCAAAGCAAATTCACAACCAAAAAAAAATACTCGTGCTTTTTGCACATGCAACACAGACTCACCACCGTTATCTTCTCTTCCTAAAAATGTTTACAGCTAGGATAGCTCCCCAAGCGGCACAACATACAAAAAAATGTAGAGAACCTACTGTGAAAATACAGAAGTGTATCCATCCCCCACCTACTAAATATTATCATGTCTGTCTATTTCTACACAGAGACATAGTTCATATAAGTGTTATAAAAATCTACATTAAGTCTAATCTAAACCCATAGTCAGTGGTAATGCACACCCATGGACTCCACTCAATCACTTATAAAGACTTCCATTCGAGTCCTTAACCATAGGGGAATACTTCTGACCATAGCTAGAAATGAAACACAACCATATACAGAACTACCACCACCAAGACAATCAACACTCAAGCCCACTTCTCTTCATCAAAATTCACTCTAAAAAATTTAACTTTTGCCAGCTTTCGCGCATCTCAACAACTAATTCCACCAAAGCTACAACAAATAAGAAGAAATCACCAAGCATTTTTTTTGTCTTCCACTCGAATTTAAACCTGAAACCTCATAATTCTAAACCCACTTAATTAACCACTAAACCACACCCTTAGGTACACAATTCACTCAAAATATGAAATGATTACAACAAAAAAAAAATTACCTTTCTTAAGATGAGAAAAAGCATTTGAAGGAAGAATATCAAATTCATCACCAAGTGTAGGACCATCTTTTCTGAAAATTTTAGCCAGTATATAATCAGGTGAATACAAACCCTCTTGAAGCCTAAGCCGATAATCATCTTCACTCAAAAACAGCTGCTGTTGCTGCTTCTTTTTACCACTCTTCTTTGGATTTTGATTTTGCTTCTTCTTCTTAGCCGCCATAATTAAAACAAAAAATCAAAAATTAAGCTCAATTAGCCATTGAAGACTCCATAGTTAAGAGTTTTGAGAAAAATGGAAGAAGAAGAAGATGACAAAGGGTTTAAGAAATGTAGGGTTTTGGGGTTTAATTCTTTGGATATTTTTTTTATTTTATTTTTTGGGTTTTTAATTAAAATATCTTAAGATGAAACCGGGTCAGTAATGAACCACGTCTAGACTGAACCGGTTTAACACGTGACTCCGGTTTGAGGACAACACAACATATATAATTCTATTTTCGTTATACTTATTTTAACATAGCTCGAGATTAATTATTTTGAGATTTGTTATTTCATGATTGTTATATTTTGCTTTATATGTGGAAGGTGGAAGTGACATTTTGTGGTGGACTAAATTCAGAAAGTGAGACTGAAATGGTTTGAGCATGTGCAGAGGAGATGCGAAAGACTGGATATGGGAGATATGCGGAAGGGTTGAGGTAGGTCGAAGAAGTATTGCGAGGGGTGATTAGACAGGATGCGGTGTAGCTTCATATTACTAAAGTCACGACTATAGATAAAGTAGACGTGTATTAGGGTAGATGGATAGTAAGAGTGGAGGGTTGTATTGCTTTGTTAGGGTTTAGGCTTGTTAGTGCATTTCGTAGTATGTTATTGTAATTGTAGTGTATGTTGTAATACTAGTCGTACTCTTGTAGTTTTTATCACATGTTATTTGAGTTTTCGAGTATCACACGATTTTACTATTGTTAGTGTTTTTTTCTTGTGCACTTTGCTCGTTTTTTATTATTAGTAATTATGATTTATTTGTTTTTTTCTTCTTTTTTTAATTAAGTGTGATGCACTTGAACTGAGAGACTTACGAAAATAACTTCTCTATCTTCACGAGATAATAATAATGTCTGCGTACAATATACTCTCAAGTTACATTTCATTTGATACAACCTAAATTTATTGAATTCATTAAGATATGTCATAAACTCTGTGTGTATATATATATATATATAGCTTTTAAAACCTAAAATATATAGAAATAAGTCTAAAATTATAGGGCCTAGCTATGACTTTAGTAAGTTGCTTAGATCTTGCTTCTTGTTACGGTTATATATATATATTGTAATAAATAGATAAAATCTAACTTTCAATTTATGATAAATCTATAATGAAAAATTTCATCTTTATTATTGATTCTAGAGTTTAATCGTATAATTTATCTTTTTTTTTTAAATATAGGCCTTAAATTGTTATCGTTTTTTAATAAGTTTATTTGTTTATGTGTGATTAATTTTTATTTCCTTATCTCTTGTGAAATCATTAAGTGTTATAGTTTGTAAATCTAAGTTGAGGTTCTTAAGATTTTTTGTTGAATTTTTGATCACTTACATGTGCTTAGTATATATTTTAAAATTTAAATAAAAGAAAATATATACGTGCAAATGTGGAACTTGCAAAAATAAAATAAAATTGGTGAATTCATCAAATTGGACACCTTAATTTCTTGTAATGAATTCAAAATTGATAAGATCATGTTATTTAACTGAATGACATAATTTGGATAAGATTTATTTTAGTGTGGTTTTTATTATTAAATTAGTGTGATTTAGTTTTGTACTTCGATCTTCAATTTTATACATTAAATTTGGTTATCATATTAATTTTTTTTTAATGATTTTTAAACCAAACATGTTATATTTATAGATCAAAAATTCAATTTTATTTTCTTTATGACGTGGATGACATGAGTTAGACTTAAACTGAATTGAGTTTATAGCTTCACAAATATTTATCTCTCTCTTTTTTTTAGTCTCGAGAGCTTAAAGAAACATTATTTTTACTAACGAATATATTAATTCCAATTATTGTTATCGCATCAAATTCAATATTCAGATCACTCGTCTTAGAGCCCGTTTAAATAAGTTTATAACTTCCAAACTTATAAAACGAAAATCACAACTTATCAATTAAAATTTTGTAATTTTAGCTTATTTTTATTTGTTAATTTTAAAATATTCTAATTTACAATTATTTTTTCTATTATAAAAGTAGTTGGAGGACTTTTTTTATTTTTTTTTTATATATATATATATATATGGATTGTACATTCACATGACATATATATCCGAATTATGAGTATCTTATATTCCGGATATACATTATCTATATATTCAAAAAGTCAATCGAATCAATCTAGCGGCTGTAAAATACACTAAAGGCCCACTAATTTAATCTACACCGTTAAATCAAAAATAAAAATAATAAAAAAAGAAAACAGAAAAGAATTTAATTCGAAAAAAAAGAAAAAAAAATATCTCAATTCTCCAAAAAAAAAATAATTCATGGAGCCGAATGAAACCAGTGGACTGAATTCTTACTTCCACCACCACATCCACCACCAACCGCCGCCGTCACAACCACCGCAAAACCCTAACCCTACAACCACCACCACCACTACCAATGGAATTGTATCAATTAACAATCCAACCGCTAACGCTAACGCTAACACCACAGTCGGCGCCGCTTCTCATATGGTGTACACTGGTTCGCTTCCGTCAGCTGTGTCGCCGACTATGGAGAGTGTGAAGAGAAAGCGGGGGAGACCTAGAAAGTATAGCACGCCGGAGCAAGCTGCTGCTGCTAAAAGGCTGTCGTCGGCGTCAGCTCCTCCTAAAAAGAGGGATCATGGTTTGAGCCATGTTGCTGGAGCAGACGGTGGTGGTGGTGGTTCTTCGAAGAAATCTCAATTAGCTGCGTTGGGTTAGTCTCTTTTTCGTTATCTTCATCACGCGCTCGCACGCGCCAATGTTGGGATTTTGTTTTGGAGAATTTTTAAAAATCTGTTCTTTAGATACATTATATTTATATATATAAGAGGGTACATGAGCACATGATATGCATATAAAATAAAAGCATTTGTATTCAGTATCTCTGTTTTATTTTCTTTTATTTTAAGGCTTAGTTTAATGAATACTTTATTCTTGTGTTGGACCTCCAACTCCTCCACTTCTATTTTCTTTTCTTCTTTCCTTCATTCAACTGAAGTTTTTTAAAAATGTGATCTTGCATGGTTTGTATATAGTAGAAAATATGTTACCTTATCCATTTTATGTTGCCCCTTTCTCAGTCTAATAAATGGCATTGCTGGATAAAAATTTTATTCAGTAAACAAAGAGGCAATCACAACTTGCCTCTAAAGTTATCTTCTTTACACCATTAGTATGATTTGCTTTTAATTTAGATGTCTATGCATAGACAGGTTTGTCATCTCTTGTTTTATCCTGTCCCCTGCTCGAATGCGGGGGGATATGGGAGGTTATGGGATGTGTAATTGGAAGTGCTTAAATTATTTTTCTTCATATATTTACATAGTGATTATGTTTAAACTGTCAGCTAGTGTACTCTGTTTCCAATGTTTAAAAGGCCTAGTTACTGTTGCTTAACGCGTGGAAGGGTGTCTGCTTTACTCAAATTTTATCCTATTGGTTTCTGCAGGCAATGCTGGTCAAGGTTTTACACCTCATATCATCACCGTGTCTGCTGGAGAGGTATGTTCAGAAATTTTCTTCCAAATTCTCTAATAATTCTTCTCATTATGCAAAGTTCACCATGCTTAAGTCGATGATAAATGATGATTCCTTCCATATACTTTTATCTATTTCTGATAGATAGTTTCACTTTAGGTATCTAGATAATTCTCAAAAATGTTTTTGAAGGAAGAGAACTTTTTCTTTTTAAGCAAATAAATTGGATAAGGGATCAATTAAGCTGTAAATAGATAGGACAGTTTATCAACTTTACCTTTTTTCAGAATTAAATAAAATTAGATAGGACAGTTATCTTTTGTTAAAAAAGTCCTATACGAAGCTTAAGACTTGTGGAGTAGGGAAACTAGGATAGAAGATATAAATCAACTTGTTGAATTCCTAGAAATGATGTGGTTAATGCTGGGGTAAGAGCGTTTGTATTTTGTTGTCGTATACTGGTTGTACCTTCTTGATACTTGCCTTGATGAAATTACCCTAGTTTAGAAACTAAAAAAGAATGGATGGAAAAGTCAGTAAGTCCATAAATTATACTGGGGAAAGTTAGAGGTGTTGGGACTTTTGGGTTTCTGGAAAACTGTAGCTGGTATTTAAATATCCAACTGATGATACTTCCATTACATGACTAAAGCACCTCCCAGATGGTCTAGCTGGCTTACACCCATTTTGTTTTGTATTTTTTCGCTATGGTAACTTGTTGACATCATAGTGGATGTTTCAAGGATACATAAATCTGTTCAGCTTTGGTCCATTTATTGTACCTCCAGTGAGGGGAGGAAGATTCTGCTGATAGGTTTTCCTTTGTGTTCAACCTTTTCCTCTTTATTGGTGCCTGGAGTGTGTTACTCCTCATTTATGATTTTTAGATACCATGACTTTCTTCACTAGTTACTTCTTTTCCTCTTTCATTCTAGCAGGTTCATTCCTTTTTATCTGCTTTCGCATTTAAGATCTCAACTACATGACTTCATTTCATTTATACAGAGACAATTGTGCACTCTGGGTTATTATCTCTGAAGTATTTATTTTTTGAAGGATATTTTATATGTTAGAACTCTTCTCATACAATTATTGGTATGTCAAGACTGAAGGGAACTTCCCAAACTTCCTTTAAGGTTAAAGCTACGTGACATATACAAGATACAAGCCAACAATGAAGTTAATTAGGTGACTACAAAATTGTCTATGTGAAGTAAGGATATGTAAGTAAATGATATCATGTATAAGGGAGACATGCTCTAAACTGTATATAAGTGACATCAATTGTTGATTGCCTGCTTGAACATCATATTTAACCATTCTTGTCCATTCCCGTGATTAGATTCCTTATTGGTACAATAATTTTGTTATACTAAGTTATTGGTTTGTTAGAAGTTCGGTCTAGTTGAAAAATTTAATTAGGTTTGTTTTTTCTATGAATTCTTCTGATATGTACATTGATTTTAAAAAAAAAAAAATTCCTGATGTGCGCAAAAGTTTGAGTCCTTATATAATTGCTTCCAGATATAACATTTTTATAGCAGATAACTCAGATAAAATGACCTATGGGAAATTCAGCGTTTCCTGCTAATCATGCCAGCTTCAAGAAATTTGACAAATTTCTGGATTCTTG